ACTGAGAAACCTGACTCCCAACTGAAAAGTTGTATATGGGCACCCAGTACAGAGGGAGAGAGGATGAAGAACAGGAACAGGCTTCTGTAAAGGAAGCAGGGAGAACGTATGAGGGCATGTTGGGTTGCCTGACCCTTTTATTGGAGTGAAATAAAGCCATTTTGAGAGATCCTTGGCCCGGGTGACTGCCTGTACACTGCTTAGAGTGGATGCCTGTGAGAGCAGACTAGAGACATGGACTGCCAAAACATGTTAAAAAGATAAACAAAAAATACAGGTTTGGAAATACTTTAAAACAGTCATTCATTTCTGAGGGCAGACAGCTGGAGGAAAAATAACTGAATGCAAGTATATTATAATTACAAGGGGGGAAGCAGGTGGCTTACACATTAATGTGGAGTCCTGGCCAGTCAGCGAGTCTTGCTAGCTGGCCTTTCCATCAGCTCAAGTTTTGCTACACTAATTACGTTGACAACTGAATCCTTACTTACTCTGATTCAAATGCTTTAAAATGGTCCCCAGACCTGGGGTCTCAACCATAAATTTAAAATCATTTATATGTGGAGACTGAGGCGGCAGCTAAACATCACCGCCAAACTTGAGGCTAATTCCCCAAAGATGCACAATGAACTTACCCCCTGTGGTCCCCTCTGCAACACTGTTTCTTCTGCCACTGCAGCCTTCAAGAAGGGTCGGAGAAGAGGTGAGCCCTGCTGCGGGGCTCAAGCTCTGTTTGAAGTACGTGTGTGAACTATACTTCAGGGCGACGCAACAGATCTGCAGGCCCCGCTACAGCCTCCTGCACACTGAGTAGGGTCTGTTTGAAGCAGTGGCTGCAGTATCCTGAACCCTCCCTCAAGGTCAGAATCTTCAGTGTCACTGGTGATTTTTTCTGCACGCAGTACAGAAAGGAGCACTGGTTCCTCAGGGAAGCAATCATACAGGAATTGTACAGGAGTGCTGCTTTGCAAGCTGACAGACCCTCATAGTAATATCTGTGCTCAAGAACAAGGCTAATGATCACAGCAAGATTCATATCCAAAAGCTGCAATCTCACAGCTAACAACAACAACAAAAAAAACAACCAACCCCCCAAAAAACAAACCACCCAATTAAAAATAAACAAAACAAACACAACCTAAACCACAAAAAACAATCAGAGATTAAAAGGCTTTCCTAAAAAATGCTGCCATGTCGTCATCCTGTAACAGCTAGGATCTCATAATGTCATCAAGAAGCAAACTCTGAACAATAAATGTCCCTACAAAGCTTCAATAAAGGCAGGAGATATCACTCTATCGTCTCTCCTGATGGAGCTGTTCCATTTTTTATAAATGTTTAAATATTCATTTGACAAGAGGGACAGACAGAAGCTTGGTACTGAAGACACTCGCTAGGGATCTCTCAGACCCAGATTCAAGTTCTCTCACAGAATAATAGAGAGTCTTTCTCTAGGGTTTGCATCAGGATTTTTTTCTCTGTGACAGGACACACTGCTGGTCAAGAACAGAGAGAAGGGAGGAGACTTGCCCTGGAACAGTGCATAGTCCAGTTATAGGGCATTTACCTGGAAAGTAAAAGAAATGCTCTTAACCTAAGTGAGTGCCTTAACTAATGGCTGTTGGAGTAAAGTTCCGTCACACATAGCCAATGCCTTCATCCCTCCATGGGAAAATTAAAGTCTCCTTGCCCAGAGAGGAACCCTTCCATCAAAGTCCAATTCTATGCAACATTTTGAGAGGCCAGAATTTTATGACGGAAAACATTTTCCACTGGAAAGTTTCCAACCAGCTGTATTTAAAACCACGTTGGGTGTAATTGCTCATAGTTTAACTCAACCAAGTAAGATAGAGGTCAAACCCTCATGATTGCACATAGCATCTTTAGAGGGCAACAGATCAGTAAAGGAAGCGTGCTTTGTTATTTAAGATCAATGTTACTAAACAATTGATTTTTATTGAAACTCTGTTGGTAATGCAGCTGGGACAGACATTTTTCAAGAGGATTTTCTGACCTCTGTATCAGCAGCAGATGTAGCTGAAGGTTTTTCAATTGACTAATAGATGCTGTGTTAATAGACTTCCCTGGTTAATTTTTTTTTGCTCTGCTTTAGGAAGGAGAAAGGAAGAATGGGTTGGCTTGCTTTAGTCCCCAAGCTATAAAAGTTAAACTAACAACACAACATTGCATCTGAGTGCTTTATCAAGGCTTATGTAAGTTTGACTTGCCCTTGTAAATGTAAAATAGCTTCCATTTTTAAAACTAACTCGGTTTAACTCCATATCGGCACACCAATTTAATTTAAATGGATGTCACCTTTCTGTTTACAAATTGGAATTTATTGCATTACCAGAGGAGAGGTTTGATACAGACTGGAAAAAGAGAGATGAAAGTTGAAAAGCAGAAAAACAAGCTAGGAAGAGAGAGGAGAGAGAAGATAGAAGACAACGGGTGGAAAGTTGGTGTAAGAGAGCTTGAAAAGAAATCTTTTGAGTGAAGCACTGCTGGCCAATTACAGACTGAAAAACCTGTCCATAGGGAGGGAAAATACAAAATTAAGAAGCAGACCAATATACTGAGGGATCTGAATTACTGAAAAACTGGAAAATAAATCCCAGATTTTTAGAGGAAATTAAAAACAAACAAAAAACCCACAACAACTTTGAAAATCAGCCTGGAGGCCATTAAGCATGTTCCAGTAGTTTCAAGTCCTGCTTCAGGAAGGACCTGACTACACATTAGAGTTATTTAGGTGCTTCAAAGGCTCCAGCAATTTCTACATTTTCCTTCTTGGTTTCCTCAGTGACTCACGCTTCTTTCTCTGTGTCAGCACAATGTCCTCACAAGTTTGCAATGGACTCTGATAGGAGCTAAAATACCCTCCAAGGTCCTGAAAGGACTTTTTCTCCTGTTCTCTGACTTTATTTCCAAAGCTACATGTTTGTATACTACACTGCTTTTGGTTCTTCATGCCCATGTACTGAGAGGTGTGCTGTCCTCCTCCATCAGCAACCCCAGCATGCCTCTGCATCTGTGCGGGTTTAGGTGAAGAACATCACAGCCACTGCACCAGAGGTTGGGATTTAGCCCTGTAAAAGATCTGGAGGCTTGACCTGAGACAAAAGAGTGTATTAACTAGGTGTTGAGCTTTCGGTTTAGAAGAACACCTTAAAACTCTGTAGGGCTTTTTTGCTTCATACCACTCACAGAGGCTCAACGGAGAGGTCAAGGAAATCTTACTAAAATCATGCAACAAACAAATTGGTAAAAAGGTCAGGTAAACCCTGGTTTTGTTGGGGTTTTTTGTTTTGGGTTTTGTTTTTTTTTTAAGGTGATATGGCTGAGGGGGAAGCTCCGGTTTTGAACAGTATGAAATATTTTTTCATATTATGAACCGTGTTCTAAATATATTGCATTTGGGTCTTTTAAACTTGTTGGTGTGGTTTGTTTGTTTGTTTTTTGTGAAAGTAAAAGAACAGTAAGGACAACACAGAATTATTTACTAATCTTCTCATGATCTAAAATACCCAATAGTTCTTTTTTTTTTGGTCAGACGTCATCTTAAAGATACCAACAGCATTATCCAGAGACTACACTGCAGGGACACCACACTAGCTTCTCACAGGTATGTAAGACCCCATCCAACTTCCACAGAGTCAAAGAAGGGTGGATCAGGCTCCATCTTTCTATTTACATGGAATTCAAGCTCTTGAGCTACAGATTTTTGGCCATGTCCCTGCATGGGAGACTTCCAGGCTGTCTGCCACACCCAGCTCCAGAGCTGGCAGCCTTATCATGGTCTCCATGGCACACTAAGCTGCATATTTGGGTTACTTATGTCTCCATTCCCTTCTCTTCCGAGCCCCTGCCTGGTGACAAAATGAAAAGTATTGGAGTAGCATAAAGGTAAAATTGATCACGGCATGAGTTTTCCACGATATTACTTCCATTCATATCCCTTCCAACTCCAGGACATAAAAACCAGTTCTTATGCAAACTGAACTGAAACCAACTCAAGTGACTCAGAGAAACCTACAGATCCTAAAAACCTTGAAATTAACTGAATTTGAATTCTATCAGAAAGCTCAGAAATGTAGACTTCATTGGTTCTTTATTATTTTGATAATTCTTTTAATTGGGGCAAAAATAATCTAAGCTCATGTCTAGCCCTGTGGTGCTTCTTTAAAGATTAAAAAGCAATAAGATAACAAAGAATGCAAATGTTCAGACAGCTGCTCACAGGGAGATGCTGTTTGAAGTAACAGTTCTCTCTCCCCCTTCTGCTGAAGCTGGGTTGCTTTTAATTATTAGCGAGGAAAAATAACAGGTTCAATAGATGTGCATGCAAGTTCATTTTCATCATCAGCTGACTTTTGCAACTTTCACACCAACACTGGCTTTGAGAACATGGACAAGTTTACACTAATGATGATTAAGAGTATTGCTCATAATTCTGAATATTAAATAGAGCACAAGGATAATATGAAGGGTGCTTTTGCATCACGATCATGAGGACTGTCACAAACCAGTAACTTAAAACTAATGTTCCATGCCCAGCTTTCACACACACATCCCAGTGGCCTTATACAAATATATGTGATTTACAGCCACTCAGACATAGATTTCTGGTCCCCTTTCCCAAAAGGCTAGAATAGCACCTGCATTTGAACCTAATGCAGAGTAACTGCACGTAGGGGTGTGAGACCCCTGTCACATGCACGGGGAGATGGGAGCTTGGTTACTCTGCCACTGCCTGACTTGCCCCAAAGGTAGAGGGAGTCGTGTACCGGGCTGCCTTTAGAGCAGGAGAATCAATAAGAAGGAACATGTCAACATCCATTTAGGGCTTGGATCCAAAGGATCATTTCCATCTTTCCTGCTACACATGAGATGAAAAAATGTTACATACCTTACTATTCACCAAACTATGGTCAACTGAGAGAGGATGGCAAAGAGAGGAACATATACAGATAGATGTGTACCTGCAGTCAATCACTTACTTTGGATTTCCCGCCCCTGGCTTCTTTCTCCGGAATATGTTGAGGAAAGTGTTGGACTTGCAAGGTGCCTTGCCATCGCCGACATGCATACGCACCACATCTGAGGTGGTGAAGGCACTGCGGACGTTCCGCTCAGGCTTGGCTATGATGATGTACATCTTAGGAGTGAACATGCACCCCAGGGCCACTGTCACGCTCAGGCTCACTGCAAAACAGGTGGTGATGATCTTGTAGTTGCTCCCGAAATAGATAGGCACAAAGGCCAGCCAGATGATACACGTGGTGTACATGGTGAACGCAATGTACTTGGCCTCGTTGAAATTGGCAGGCACGTTGCGAGTCTTGAAGGCATAGTACGTGCAGCTCATGATAAGGAGCCCATTGTAGCCCACAGGAGCCACAACGCCTAGGTTGCTGGTGTTGCAGATAAGGTAAACTTCCTTAATGCTGGGGTAGGAGAGGATGGGCATCGGGGGCTCCAGGATGATCAGCGTGACCACCAGTGTCAGCTGTACGCTGATCAAAATGGAGGCAATGACCACTTGTGCCCAGGCGCTCATGAAACGTGGCTTGCGGGTACAGATCTTCTTTTTGCTGCCTGCCAGGATGCGTGCGATGCGGTTGGTTTTGGTCACGAGGGCGGAATAGCACATGGCAGAAGAGAGACCCACCAGAAGGCGTTGGAGGTAGCAGGATGTCGTGGTGGGTTTAGCTATAAGGGTGAAAGGGCAGACGTAACCCAGAAAGATGCCAGCAAGGATAATGTAGCAGAGCTCCCGGCTGGAGGATTTGACAACAGGGGTGTCCCTGTAGAGCACAAAGATAAGGGTGACAAACATGGTGACCAGGATCCCCAGGCAGGAAAAGACCACGGCCACAATAGACTCTATATTGCTCCACTGGAGGTACTTTACAGGGATGGGTTCACAGCCTGCAGTATACAGAAAAGAAACAGAGTGTTAGAAAAGTATCTGCTTGAAGAAAGAACTTATTTTTGTGGCTCCCAGTATAATACAAATATTAGTTTATGCCCATGTGCGATGGATTATTACAACCATTTTACAAAGGAGTAAACTACAGCATGGAGAAGATCGGATTAAATATGTTCAAAAAAAAGCCATCAATTTTGGGTATCCCAAACTTTTGCTGATGATACTACAAAGGGAAATGAGATTTGGAATTTTCTTCCTAATTTTTCTTGAGATAGCTGCTGACAAGCCCAGTATATCAGAGTTAGAGCTGGGAAGAGAACCCACACAAACTCAGTACCATCCTTTTGTTTCCGCAGGGAAAGGATTGTTACCCATCAGAATGGGTAGCTTTTGAACCTTCTCACACTAACTAATCTTTATCAAAATCAGTGTAACTTGACCCATTACTTTTTTCTGAAGGTGATTTTATAAATTATAGAAATTAAGTATAGATCTGTTATGGGCAGCAGCAAACGTAAAGTCAAAGTCATAATGGAACTATACTATAAATACTGCACCTTCACATTATATTTCTGTTTGGTTTGGGGTTTTAAATATTGCCTTATTCTTACTTTGTCAAAGACTCTGCACAATGTTTTTCCTCCACACTCCTTTCACCATCTCAAATAAAAAATGTAATTAATACCGTTCTTGGGGAAAAACCAAGTCCACAAAATATGAGTGTTTTCAAAACGTAACTGGAAAGGTGCTCCTCCAGTTCCTAGCACTTCTCCACTTTTCCTTCAACCCAGCTCATATTTTGTTCATTTTCCCCACCTCTCAAGGATCTTTACTCCCAGCCCCACACTGTCCCCATCTCAGTCCCTTTCCAGCTCTGTTTTTCCCTATTCTGTCACCTCTCCACCCAATTGTCTCCATTATAAACACTTCTGGTCCCACTTTTCACATCCTGGACTGGCTGCTCCTCACCTGCCTATCTGGGTTGTTGGATGCAGCTTGGAAGAGCAGGGAAAAGGCAGTGGTGTGAGCGAGTTTGTATGAGAGGCATTTTCTTCCTCTTTTTAGTTTTTTCTATCTTTTTAGTTTTGCTGCTAAATCTTAGCAAGGGCCATGATAATGTGACCAGCAAAAGTCATGCTCAGCCCCTTCATCCTCAGTATGGAGTTTATCTGCAGAAACCAACCTGTATGAACGGAAAGCTTCTGAGGAACACAGTTTTGCTCAGTTTATACACATCTTCCACAGGGTGACACAAAATTACTAATACCTCCACCAAAATGTATATTCCTTCCTTCCAAATATAGACGTTAGCAGAGGTTTGGAGCAGGGTTGAACAGTTTTACTGTAACCTCATTTTGAGAAATAGAAGAAGAAAAAAATGGGTTTTTTTGTAAAAGTTAAGAAAAATCAGCCTGAGGCCAAGTCCTGACACGGAAAATTTCTGCTTGAACTTTTATGTCTGCCAATGTCATATAAAATGAAAGAATATCTTATAATTCTGTAATCTCTGTCTCTAAGAGCACCAGGCTGACTTAACTAGAGGTATTGCTGTCTACTTAACTACAGGTAATGACGTTACAGGTACCCGTAACATCAAATTCAATAGAAATGATAGCATGTGTAACTGGAGGTCTCATTTTATAAAGAAAAGGAATTCTGTTTTGCTCAGAGTGCTCTGTTCAAGCCTCAGATAGATGAGGAAACCTGTTCTTCCAAACAGTATTTTTATGGTGCAATATAAAGGAATTTGTTTTTATTAGAAGTGGGAACCTCTGGCCATTGACCACAGCAGCCCTGAGTGAAGGTTAGCTCCTTCTTTGATTTCATAGCAGACTAAGCATCAGAAGCTCCTGTTTGTTGATTAATAAATTCTCTTAAACAAGAAACTAGTCTTTGGTTTCTGGAAGGGTTAAGTTTCAGTGCGGGTTTTAGGCTCAGCAACATCAAGCCATACACATTCCATCTTAAATGATATTTCAGAGCCCTAGCCCTGATTCAGCATGGTAGTTAAGCCTATCGATTGCTTTAAACTTATCCTGTGTCAGGTCTTAGAAATCTGTTTCATTAAATCAGTGTAAATCCTGTGTACCAGCAAGCCCCAAGAGCCACATATGCTACCGACATTGCAAAAAGCTCCCTGCACTGCTGATGTCAGCAAACAGTTGTTGGTTGTCAGCACCTGTGAAGGTGGGTCATTTCCCAGCTAGGAGAAAGTGGGCTAGGGAAACTTGTTGAGACTGGAGGAGGATACCCAGGCAATGGTGTATTTATAGGTTTAAGTAAACAAACAAATGAAAAACACACACACACAAAAATCCCCCCCAAATCCCACAACAACTAACTCAAACCTCAAAAAACTCAGAGAATTAGTGGCAAAAGCTTTGTAGTTAAAAGTTTCTAGTAAAAAGCTGCTCGGTAGCTTTCATCTACTGTTTTCCCTGCATTTTAACCATGAATCATGTCTTAGAGCAGAAGGATGATCGATGTTTTATTTTTTATTTTTAAATTATATTCATACTGCAAGGCCAGTAAGACAATCTAAGATGTTTTCTGAGGTCATCAACAGATCCCAGGTAACTGATGGCTCCAAACCTTTACAATTCATTTCAAAAAGCTCTATAAAACCTCCTGTCCTATCTTGTTTTATTGCTTATTTAAGATGATTTATGTAAACTGGGTTTACTAGCTTGAGATTCATTCTTCTTATATTAGTTTCTGATACTATAAAAGACATCTCTTCTTCTTGGCACAAGGCCTACTGGTTTTAGTGACTATTTGTGAGGTCAGTTTTTTATCATCTGTGGTGAGAAATTCTTTGTGCCTGCTGACTCCATTTCGCTGAACATGTATGTAGGGGAAGCAATCTAAAAAAAACCCTTACATTTAAAAATAAAATGAAAATGTCAGGAAAGGATTGCTGAGCAACAGAGACTGATTTCAAATGGAGACAATGATCACCTTGAAAAGCATGTCTTAGGAAATGGGTTAGTATGTGCTTCACATTTCCTAAAGGGACTAATGATTTCAGAGCCTCCATCTGTGACGGAAAATGAGACTAAAACTGCATACATGTTTAGCATTTAAGATTTAAGGCAAAGGGAAAAACAATCTGGAATGTGAGATGTTAATGTCTGTGTCTAGATACTATGGTGACTGGTAGGGTGCGAATGCAACACACATAACCAAGCTATAAAACACATTTGATGGGAGAAATACTGGCAAGCAAAGAGAATTCCAAATTAAATGATACCCGTGGTGACCCCTGCAAAGCCCAAAGGCCATAGGTTATCTAGCTCAATCTCCCTTTTCTAAAGGTTAAGATGCCATTAGCTTTTCTTCACAAGTTTGTGCTTTGTACTGCAATTCGAGTAAATGAATTGCAGAGGTTAAAAAGTTTTTTCCTCACTAAGACAGAATGAGGAAGCTGTGCAGGACCAGACTGCCATTTTGATGTTCTCCAGGAAATCAGTCGATGGCTATGCTGTCGTTTGGCTGATGCTACTGTGATTTTAGAACAGCAGCAGTCCAGTCTCCTTGCTGAGAAGAAACACAAATCAGCAGGTCATCTACTGATTTCATTAAAAGTTAATAGATTGCAACATGCCCCTGAGATTTTTTCCCAGCACTGATGCTTTCCTCAACTCCTTTCAGCGATGCCTGTCATTTTGACATGCCCCCCTTTGAGCTATTTTGAGCAGCTGGTAGCACTGAACTATATTCGCTCAAGTGCACATTGATCTCTCACTATGTTCTTGTTCTGCCTTATTGATTAAAAAGAAGTCCCAATTTTCTTCCCTGAATAGTATATAGAAACAATTCTGCCAAGCCTAACAGAACCTGGTTCTCTATAGGTATCTGCTTTAAAATCAGCAGATGCTGGTATCCTAGGAGGTGTGAGTTGAACACGATTTTGTGCCATGGTCAAGACATTTATGAATAGACAATTGATCAAGTTTCCCATTTTATTGTGATGAATAATATATTTTTAGCTGTAAAAGTGACCAGCTTTTTCTCTCAAAATAAAGCCTCAAAAAGCTCACTTGGCTCCAGTGACTAGCTTAACAGCGTCTCTTGGAACTATTTAATCAAGGTTTGAGTACTTCATCTATGTGTTAAATACTGCAGCAGCCTCTAGTTGCCAGCCAGTCATATTAAAGGACAAAGATGTGATAAGTTGCATACTCGATCCTCAGCTCGGTAGTCTGTTTGTCTGGCTAGGAATGATGCCCTGCTGAATACTGGCATCCAAGATTTGCAGATGTAGCATGGGGCAGAGGTGCCAGTAGACTTTTGCAGTGATACTAAGCAACCCTCAGGGTCAAGATGGTGATTCTCAGTGTGTCAGAACTATTTTCTTGGGGTAGTGGTTACTGCAAAAGCCCAGAGCAGGTGTAGAGGTTGACCTTCATAGGTAGAAAATAACAGAAAGATGCCATAGCATACAACTCATCCAAAGCATGTACATGGGGGAGAGCAATTTTAGCTGTTTCCCTTTCTTCTGCCAGCTTTCTTAGGATATTGTCGAGGTCCTCTTGCTGGTAGGGGCAGCAAGAATGATTTCTACACCAAACAAAAGGCCGGTAATCAGTTACTGAATGCCCTGAAATCTCAGATAAATTATTACTAATTGCATGGTAGAACCATCAGGGAGTATCAAGTCAGTCTGACAAGGATGCACTGAGTTCTTGTGATAATCTGCTAAAATTGCAGCAAATGCTGCTAAGTTCATTGATAGTCTTAATAACTTTACCAATGCTTATGCTAACTGAAGGGGAGGAACAGACAGAATACGTCATTTCTTCTTCGTACAAATTTTGCCATCTTTATTATTACTGCTGTTGAACTGAGTCAAAAGAAACAGCACTTTTCACTCACCCTAAACTACAATGAGATGTGTGGTTAAGCATGTACCTTTAATATCCCTGCATGCTGCCACCTTACTCTCCACCATACACACCATTCTCCTTGTGTCCTGTCAAATGGGAATGCATTTGGTGGGACACGTCCCTACCTGTTAGGTCAGCATTCGGCCACCAGCCAAGCTCACAGGCTTTACATGTGAATTCATCCTGAACAAACTCATTCTCCTTGCAAGCAGTGCAAATCCAGCAGCAACTCACTTCTCCTTTTCTGATCACCTGTAATGCAAAATACATCCTCAGCTACGATCCTCTGTAAGACAACACAGAGGGTCCCCCAGAAAACAGGTGTCATCTGCACTGTTTAAAATATGACAGGATTCCTCTGTATGGCACATTTCAAACAACAAGAAAACACGAATCCTGATTCTGTATCTACCCTACTTATTAAAATTTGTGCTTAAGATTTCAAGGTAAATCTCTGGGGACAATTCTATTCTGTTTTGGGAGGAACAGTTCTGAGTTAGAAGTACAAAACTTCTTCCTTTTGGTACAGAGGCATGGTGAGTGTTATATTTTCAATCAAACTAGAGAAGAGGTTTAATCTGAGAGATGGTTCAGGTCAGGACAAGTAGCTCAGCCCACGCTTAATATCTATTGCAGTAAACAGTCAAAGGTTAGAACAAAGAGTGATTCATGCATATATATATACCCAAGCACCTGCACACACACATAAATTCCAATTTACATTGAAGTCTCTCTGGGGCTCAGTATACTAGTGTAAATAGAAATTCAAATAACAGCAAATTAAAAAATATACTGCTAAAAGGATGTAATGGGTCCTAGTAGAAAATAAAACCAATATGCGGTGACCAAGAGCATGCTCCGGAACAGCTCTTCTGGAGACAAATGTCGCTGAAGGCTGTATCTTTCTCTGCTGTGAAAGCTGCTAAGTGTAATGATCCAATGTTGAAAAGCTGGTTTCCTCGTCTTGACTGCTAGTTTCATTCCGCTGAGGTTGAAAGAAAGATTAAGGATATCTCCAGCTCATGGGGCGCCAACAAAGACTGGCTCTGTTTGTCAGAAAGGAGGAATCCAGCCATCTCTCCAGGATCTTCCTATCCATCTATATGCAGAGCTAAGTGCAGGAGTGAAATACAAAATGTTTGTTTTATTGAATGCTGGCTTTGTGGGCTTTTTTTGTTAACATTTCCTCCTGCAGTCTGTGGAGAGAGTCCAATAGACTTCAATGGGAGCCGAAGCTGGCATTTTGTATGCATGGTGTTTACATATACACACATACACAAACTGCACAATCTCAAAAACAAGGAAAAGATGTTTTGGAGTGTAGTAAATACCGATAATGTTTCCCCTCCAAGATTGTTGAGTATGTCACTATGCTTTTGCCAAATTATCAATCACTTATTGCTTAGAGTAGCAATATAGAATTAAAACCTGCAAATGTGCTTATTAAATGAAATTAGAAAGGAAGGTCTGCTCTAAGGTAATTTTCCTGAATGGGCTTCTTGCCATTTCAAACTTACTGCATCCATACCACTGTGATAGTGTCGAAGCATGTCTTTATGTCATCCAGACATGGCAGGTGGCAAACTATTTGCAGCTTGATACAAGTGCTACATTTGGTAAACACAGAGTGATTTCATTTGTGTTCCCATACCTCCTGTTGTGAACATGAGACACAAATAAGCTTCCCCCCCCCCCCCCCAAGGTGTTATTGCTGGATCAAAATTCTGGATTCCCATGGGTCACAATATTTCCAGGATCAGCCCCCAGGTGAATCAGCCACTGAAGGCTGTAGGCAATGACTAAGTGAAAATCTTGTTCTTTCTCGAATAAGGTGAAATACAAATCCTCTCACACAAGAAGATTCAACATCACTACAAAGGCCGATTTTTGAAAACACAGGTCTGTATATAGGATTGTAAAAGTCAGATGTTAATCTCGGAGTCTTTCTATACTTTTGCCATTCTTGCAGAAAAGTAAGTCCTATCCCTTGGTTTGAAAGAAGCTTGCTTGGATTTAGTGAAAAAAACCCTGACTGGTTATTCACATTTCTAAAGCAGAAAGTATGTGTTTGGGGCACACCTTAATCTGGCCCTTCAAGCAAGGCTCGCTGCACACAGATCGGACCATTCCACTCTTGTTCATCTGAATCCTGTAGTCATCGATGTTGAGCACGCCTTCATGCCAGGTCCCAATGAGGACATAGTCATAGCGGTTGGGCTCTATGTACTGCAGGTTCATGATGTCATACCTGCAAAGGAAAAAACAGAAAGCGAGTCAGTGTACTTCAATGAGAAGGATAAAAATTGACCTTGCCTTTCTGCTTTTGCCTCGCTAAATATTTGTCTCTTCCCTTAATACCAGGGACTAAGGTCACCAAATACTGTAGAATACAGCAGAATCATGGGAAATGACAGCTCTCATTGTCACACAATTACTGATTGCCTGCCTCACTTACATAAAACTATGGGTGAAATGTTTTGTGTCCAGGAGGAACCGCACGTCAATGACAGAAAGCTCTGCTACACCCGCACATGTGGGAACTATCTGCAGAGTGTATTTTTCAGCCATTTTTCAAGATATCTTTAACATTCACTTGGTGCCTACTTACAGATTTTTGCAGTATAGCCCCTGCTGGGAGCTCTAAAGAAATCAGTAGAAACGCTCTAACTAACTGAAGTTATGCCATAAGTTAACTGTAAGCACTAGTTCAACTATTCATATTACCCATCCCTGTGGGACTGTCAGGAAAAGTTAGCAGCTCAGGCACAAAATTTACTTCCTTGTCCTAGGCAAGTAGGAGAGAACTTCCCAGGCATAAACCACTGCTACAATAAACATGCAGCTTCCCTAACTCCACCACTGCCCTGAATGGGTTCGGTCATGTGTGCTCATCCTTTACCACTAATTGTTCTGCACCTTCTGTAACCCACCGAATGTGGCTTTTTCAAAACAGTGATTGAGTGTGTTGATGACAAGGAGGAGAGCTTTGCTTAAAAAAGGAGGAGAGAATGAGGGCTGCCAACCAGAAATCAGCACCGGAGCTGAAATGCACGAAGCATCTTCTGTTTTCCAAGCCTGGGAGTTACTGCCTTGTTTTTCTCTACTGGATAGTCTCAGTCTCTGAGGAAAAAAATATCTTTTGTTTATAATGAGTGTTGTTAATCTGTATGTGTGTTAGGAATGAAAGGTAAGCAAAGTGTTAGCCATAAATAAAGATGGGATGTTGACTGTGGGCGAAGAGACATATCCATTTCTTTCTTTTCTCTGCTGAGGTTCAAATGTGCAAAACTTCAATTCTCTCTGCACTTCACAGGGTAAGGAGGTGCTAGAATTACTCTCTAGATGTCTGCTTTTCTTGATTGAGTCTTTGGGATCTCCCTAGTTAAAAAACAATTTGAAGAAGTGAATATTTACACTTGCATTTATACCTCAGTCTTGCAAATATGCATGCTCAGGTAATGTCAGCACCACTGCGAGCTCCACTGAATCCCATGGGAAAACGAACTCTTAGCACTGAGTTCAATGAAGCTCCAAGCAAGAGGCAGCTCCATTGGTTGGCAATAGGCTGTTAATTGAGGAGTTGCTTAGAAAAGGGGTAAACTGCAAATTCACTAGGAAACAATTCCTTCTTATATCCCACATCTTGCAAAGGAAGAATATAAAGAAAGGAATGCTGTTTTCAGGATTGTGCAGAATCAGGACAGCAAGAAGCAATAAGAGCAGGGCACTTTATAATGTAGACTCAACAGACAGGAGTAAAATTGAGAGGGAATGTACATCTTCCTAGCAAGAAGAAACTACTTGGATTTTAGAGTGACCTTGTATTAAACTGATGCAAAATCAGTTACACTGGTCTGGAAAATGAATTCAGGAAGGGAAATAAAAAATTACTCAAACCTCACATTCCCTTAATGGAATTTTTGAAGCCGCACAGATTGTTTTCATTTTTCCAAAAATATATTGCAAGGCACAGAGTGGCATTAATGCAATATCAGTCAAGAGTTGGCAATTTCAGGGATACGATTTTAGGTTGAAAGCCGTTCTTATATTTTCTTATAATACTATTCCCTTTTCTATCAGTTATCTGTCAAAGAATAAAGTATGCAAACTAAAAGCTCTTACAAAGTCTTGCATATGACAAGTCAAAGTACAATGTTTGTAGCTTCAACATGCAGCTTGAATTTTAAGTGGAAAATTGTGATCTAACAAATACACTTGGTATATGGAGACATGTTTAAGTTCTTTATCCCTTCCTTCTTTTGCTTAATGAAAAATTTCTACTTTGAGTAAGGACAAGTTCAGTGCTGGAATACCTCCCCTCAACCCTTTGCTCACACATGAACAGCTTTAACAGTTTGGGGCTGTCCCCAAGCTACAAATGATTATCCTAAAAGAAGCGCATTGACAAAAGTTGTGAAGCTCTAAGAGGGCAAGGGCCTTAGAGGCTGCTGGATTTCATACACATATGGCAGCATTTACAAAAGCCATGGAAACGTTCCACATGTAAGAAAATGAATGTTTCTTTTAATGTAAGGGTAAGCTCTCCAGTATATTGGGAAATGATGTGACTGAATAGGTGGTGTCATATAAGCAAAATACTTTTGAGGTGAGCCAGACCGTGAGCCAGTTGGTCACAGGCACATTCTTACTCTGGTTAGTATGCGATGGCTGAAGTTACCTTTCTCCATAGTACCAGACTGGCAGTAAGGTTTGTTGTGCTGGAAGGCAGAATGGGAAACAATGCTGGAATGTAACCAGCCAAAAGAACAACCCATGGAACCAAACTCCAAAACCACCATGTATATTTGAATTCTATGAATTCTGGACACACATTCCTCTATATACTATATAAATTTGAAGTATTTGCATTATGTGTTCGATAATTTACTCAAAGCATTGGAGTTGATAGAGTTGGAACGTCTGAAGTCAGAACAGCTACTGGAAATTTTGAACTAGATAGAGTTATATGGGCCTACGTCCAAGTCCAGTTAGGGTAAACCAAACAAAAACATTTCTGTTGGCTTATGAACCTCAGCATTTCTCCACACATCAGAGGTCCATTGTAGGGGCTGAAAATTCTGGCGGTTGTCACATAGCAATTTATGGTCAGAGGCCTGCGCAAATCGATCATCCTAGAGGTAATTTTTTTCACACCTGCCATAAGCTAAAAGTAGGCAGTTATCCTAGAGAAGACAAGAGCTTGAAAATGGATTAGTCCCCTGCCCCTTGCACAGGACTAGAGAAGGATGGGGTATTGACTACTGCATCACCCACACCTTCTCCAGCCATTTCTGGGAATTAGAGTGATATGATTACTATTGAGAAAGGAAATGGGAGGTACTCAATGAAACTAAAAAGTTGAGCAATTCTGCCAGCAATTTCTTAATGACAGTATAGCGAGCACATACAGCTGTTGATTTTCCAGAGCTACATCCACGTAATGTTTCCCACAGGCAGTGCAGTCGGTTAAGTGACTGCATTTGTGCCCTTCTAATAAAGCTCTGCTTCACATTACTGCATAAAAGGTCTTCAAATAAAAGATTCTGAACAGAAGAAATAAACATTTGAAAAAATGCTTCATGTTTTCTAATCTCATTTTGATAAAAGCTTCAAACAATGAATTGAACCTGAGCTGGAAAAAGAGTTATATCTAAAGAAATGGTTAAGGTTTGATGAAGCTGTAAGGGGTTCAAAACAGGAAATTATGTGTCAGGCAAACATAACTACAGACATCTCTACTTGCTTTATCCATCATGATTGTAAGTAGGAGATTGTGAGAGTCAATTGCTCAAAGAACCTCAAAGATTTTGAAAACAAAGTATGAGGAAGGCTGCTGGCTTCTAAGAAGGAATATTGCTTTTTTCCAACTTGTGAAGTTGATTTGCTCACATGACATAGTAACATAATTTAAAAGAAAAATGTTTTTTTCATATTTCTGTGACATATTTGCACTGGCAGAGAAAAGTTGAAAATGCAGGAAATTTCAGTTCTGACTCTCTTTGCTATATTTAGGTGTTTTATGTGGTGTTTAGATTTTCATTTTGCTAAAGTACAAAAGCTTTTTTGGATATTGATAGAGTGGCTATGGTGCATTCATTCATTCACAAAGAACTTTTCCATGTGTGGCTGTGGGAACACTAGGGCTAATCTGGAGCTAAACACAATTCTGCATGGACATAAACTACAGTTGGCATACAAGGATCTAACAGGCTGTATAGATCAGTTGGACTCGATGATCTTCAAGGTCGTTTCTAACCTAAACGATTCTATGATCACATTTCATTTACACATCTCTGGTATGATACCGGCCATGTCATAAATGCCACAGACTGACAAAAATTACAGCATGGATAATGAAAAAACTATTCTCTGGTATGATACTGGCCATGTCATAAATGCCACAGACTGACAAAGATTACAGCATGGATAATGAAAAATTTAATAGAATTTTCTTCACCCAATTTGATAACTCCAGTTGTGAAAATACAAATGAGGGACAAAAAAAAATAATCTTACCTAAAATAATCCATCAAATTCTAAATAGGCCATTGAATCAAGACAAATGAAACTTACTGTACACCAAAAGGATGGATGGAATAAATTCTATCATCCTGACCTACTCAGAGAAATATCCTGATATCAACCCTTCTATACTTTGAATTCAGGTACTGTTCATTCTAATTCTACACTTGGTACTGATGAGAGTTGCGGAAATGCTCTCAGGTGATGAGATAATAAATACAAGTTGGTCTAAAATTGGAAAATTACACCTAAACATCAAACCAAAGAACTAACAGGCAGACAATGCAGCATACACAATGCTGAAGTAATGCTTTTACAGAAATCATAGAATCATAGACTGGTTTGGGTTGGAAGGGACCTTAAGGGTCATCTAGTTCCAACCCCTGCCATGGAAAGGGACACCTTCTACTACACCAGGGTTCTCAAAGCCTCATCCAGTCTGGCCTTGAACACTTCCAGGGGTGGGGCATCCACAGCTTCTCTGGGCAACCTGTTCCAGTGCCTCACCACCCTCTCTGAGATGAACCTCTTCCTCACATCCAATTTAAATCTGCCCTCTTTAAATTTAAACCCGTTACCCCTTGTCCTATCACTACAAGCCCTTGTATAAAGTCCCCCCACCAGCTTTCTTACAGGCCCCTTCAGGTACTGGAAGGGGTGCTATAAGGTCTCCCCGGAGCCTTCTCTTCTCCAGGCTGAACAAGCCCAACTCTCTCAAGGAAAGGTGCTCCAGCCCTCTGAGCATCTCCATGGCTCTCCTCTAGGCTCACCCTAACCGGTCCTTACCCTTCTTATGTTGGGGGCCCCAGACCTGGACACAGCACTCCAGGTGGGGTCTCACAAGAGTAGAGGGGGAGAATCACCTCCCTCGACCTGCTGGCCACAATTCTCCTGATACAGCCCAGGATACGGTTGGCTTTATGTGCACATTGCTGGGTCATGTTGAGTTTCTCATCAACCAACACTCTCATGTCCTTCTCCTCAGGGCTGCTCTCAGTCCATTCTCCACCCAGCCTGTACTTGTATTTGGGACTACCCTGGCCCATGTGCAGGACCTTGCACTTGGTCTTATTGAACTTCATGAGGTTGGCAGTGGCCCACCTCTCCAGCCTGTCATGTCCCACTGGATGGCATCCCTTCCCTCCAGTGTGTTGACTGCACCACACAGCTTGGTGTCATCAGCAAACTTGCTGAGGGTGCACTCGATCCCACTGTCCATGTCACTGACAAAGACAGTAAACAGCATCGGTCCAAACACCAACTCCTGAGGAACACCACTCATCACTGGTCTCTACTTGCACACCGAGCCATCGACTCTTTGAATGTGACTATCCAGCCAATTCCTTACCCACAGAGTGTCCCACCCATCAAAACCATGCCTCTTCAATTTAGAGACAAGAAGGTCATGCGGGTTAGTGTCAAACACTTTGCACAAGTCCAGGTAGATGACATCAGTTGGTCTTCCCTTACCCACCAATACTGTAACCCTGTCCTAGATGGCCACCAAATTTGTCAGGCACGATCTGCCCTTGGTGAAGCCATGTTGGCCATCACCAATTGCCTCCTTATCTTCTATGTGCCTTAGCATAGTTTCCAGTAGGATCTGCTCCATGATGTTGCAAGGCACAGAGGTGAGACTGACTGTCCTGTAGTTCTCTAGGTCTTCCTTTTTCCCCTTTTTAAAAGTAGGGGTTATGTTTCTCCTTTTCCAGTCAGAAAGAACTTCACTGGACTGCCGCTACTTCTCAAATACAATGGATAGTGACTTGGCAACTTCATCTGCCAGGTCCCTCAGGACCCACGATGGATCTCATCAGGCCGCATGGACTTGTGCACCTTCAGGTTTCTTAGATGGTCTTGAACCTGGTCTTCTACATAGTGTGTAATGAACTTAAACCTAAGCAGAAATTTCTCTGTATTATCTAAATTACATGTGCAAAGATCTGATACATGCATTTGTGTCAAAAAGCCTGTTTGACTGTAAGTGAATTGCTTGCCTCTACTGTCAAAGTCTGACCTAACTCATCTATGTCTTTGACTAAAAAAATCTAAAGTATACAACACTCAACAAGAAGACAGACTCATCAACTTTTTCTTATTACTTAAATGTAACAAGCCATTTAAATATATACACTGTTTAAACAGAACAAGCAGCACAAGTAACAAATGGTAAAAAAGTTTGTCAGTTTTGCTAATAAGGGCTAGTAATAGCATTGTTTAAGGCCACTGTGTCTTACGACTACTCCTTGAAGGCATATGCTAGAATGCAACTCTTGTTTATTCCAGAGCACTCTGTGTGCAGTGTTGGCAGTCAGATGCATTTATGCAATAAGCCCAAAGATGGAGTGAGAGAGTCTTTTATAACTCAATAGGAAAACTAGCTTCAATGAAGTATCCCCTGAGAAGGTTTCAGTAAGAACAGATTGTGTACTTCAGCAGCTGAATTAAACTTATTTATTAAGAAAAAACCCAAAATATCAAAAATAAACCCATCTGGAAGGTGTCTCACTTAAAGTAGTTGGACAGAACCCACAGAACTAAATGAAGAGGAGAAGATTTCTGTCAGCTGGCTCCCATAAGAGAAACAGAAGTGACATCCAAGTCCACGAAGTTGCTGTCTCACCCACTGCTGAGGTACATATTGTGTCTGCTAGGGAGGGGTAGACAGTAGCAGCTACCACAGACCCCAGATGTGTGAAACACAATACCTTATGGCAAAAAAAAAACCAAAACAACCCACGAAAATTTTCCTCCTCTACTCAGACCTATCTTTAAACCCTGGGAAAGCCTTATTATTTAAACCCTTATTTGGAGTGAAACAAGTTAAGGGGAGAACACAGGAGTTCACCAAGCAGAACTAAATAGTCTCTGGCAAGGATACAATGCTATGTCCTGGGAGCACTCGGAGCAGCAGAGATCCACTTGGAAAAGGAGGTGCTGTACAGCCCTACCTTCAAAACCTTAGCACACAAATGCTTCATTAGTTTCCAAACACCTGTATTAGGCTTTACATCTATTAAAACCCTGGTACTGAGCCCCAGTGGTAACTCAGACACATAAAGTCTGTGACATAACAAGCTTTGTCCTCTCCTGAAACCCTAGAAATGTTACAGGCTGTACTGTAGTTCCTGTCTAAATCTGTGATGTGGCTATCAATACGTCATGTCTTACCAGTGTTATTCCTGGCTATTGGTAAGAATAATCATAGAATCTCAGAAGGGTTTGGGTTGGAAGGGACCTTAAAGATCATCTAGTTCCAACCCCCCTGCCATGGGCAGGGACACCTTCCACTAGACCAGGTTGCTCAGAGCCACATCCAACCTGACCTTGAAGACATCCAGGGATGGGGCATCCACAACATCCCTGGGCAACCTGTTCCAGTGCCTCATAATCCAGATAAGTCCATTTATGTCTCACAGTATGCGTGCTGTATGCCCATGCTGTATGCTTCATTATGAAGAAATCTCCATCACCAAACCCAGCAGCATTCCCCCTTCACATCTGGTTCAATTAGCTGAGACGAAACATCTATTTACCTTCCAGGAGCATCTCCCTTTTCATCAAACCAAACTTCTTCTCCAGAAACACCGATGAATGAGGATTTGAGAAGGAACTCCAAGAGCTTGCTTCCATCAATTGGCTTCATCGCATCACACAGACCAACATATCCAGGGCAAAGGGAATGATGCATATTTTGGAGCCCATGAGCCATAGCATATATAGCATTGATGACAAATCCCATTTTACTGTCCTGCACATAGTTTTCTTCTAGGGTCTCATTGCCTAAAATAGTAAGAAAAAAGTGTTGTTATAAACAAAGATGAAATAATACGAACATATGAAAAAGCAGTGAGAGATAAAAAGGGGTTTTCTTATTTCGGTTATAAAGCTTTAGAAGCAAAATAAGGTGCCAGCCAGGGATTTTAATTACATTAAAAAAAAAAAATCAAAACCAAAATACAACAAACCACTTCTTTTTTTCATAAATTTTTAATTAATTGAAAGTGAAATGCCTCATGAGAAAGCACCAGTTTAATCAAAATGTCAGTTTTAATTTGTTCTTTTTGGAATTTATGCTTGTCATTCCCCAATGTTATTTATGCTAAGAAGGGTTAAAAGGCCCAGTATCAGAATGATGCATTTCAGCTAGAACAATTTTTAAAAGCAGTTGCTTGTAAATTTGACTTTTAGTCACATTTGAATTTTTTTTTTTTTCATCTCATGGGTTTGAGGGCCAAGATAGCAATGTCCCTTTCAGTGTTAATAAGCAAACAAACTAAATGAGCATTACTTCTCAAGTTATCAGAACCAACCATTTTAGCTACAAGTTAGTAGTAGATGTGCCAATTTGGGATTGCTACAAAAGTCAAACTAAGTTTGTCACACAGAAAGACTTTTTATGTAACTGCAGCATGAGCAGGCATTGCAGTCTCTGTCCCTTGATTGTAAACAGTGTGGCAGGGAAGGTTTTTCCTACCAGCAGGTTTGAGCTGTGATGTGCTGATGTGCAGGCACTGCCCGAATGTACCATTTGTACCACTGGGTCCTGGGCCGTTCCCCCTCTCCCCTCACGAGCTGCCGAGTGCTCTCAGCACAGACCCTGCGCTGCAGCCGTGCCCAGGGAGATGGAAGTAAGAAACCACCCTGTTTTGTTTTCTTCCCCCTGAGTCATTCTATCACAATATGCTCCAAACTGCAAGATGCTTTTATCTGCAGACCCTCCCACGTTACTCGCTCGGTGTTTAACAGGCACTTGCAATCCAGTCTCTCCTACTTTGTCTAAGTAACACCTTGCCTGTGCTTGGGAAGTAGGATGTGTGAGAGACTAGGTGTTAACAGACACTTCTCAAATCCAGGTTGGACAAGTAGTTGTCATTTTAATATGAAGAAAAGAGGAAAATCTACAAGTTCACTGTAACTTTCAAGTTACAAAAATAGCTCCTTCCCCTAATGACGATGTTGTATGGCTTTCAAATCAAACAATGAAGACAACCCTTACATTCACCCTTGGAAAAGCCTCCCTCAGATTTGGTAGGTCTTCCCAGCTTGTTTGCCCTACAACTCAGAAATGTCAACTAGGGATTCATTAGGCTACCAGAGATCCCAAAGACAGGGATGTCTAGATTTCTTTGGGTCACTCTCGCACAGGACATTCATTGAAACAGTGCCAGAAAGTCTTGCTTCCAACAAGTGTTTTCTAGATGAGCTGAACACATCAAACAGTCGTGATGGCAAATTTAAAAAGCCTTGACAAAATAGCATAATCTGACTGACAGAGATCCTGTACTCTCACTGCCATACATTCACCACCAGCACCACCAAGCAAGGAGCAGTTGGAGAAGTATTTCCCAGAGGCAATGTATCTGCCACTTTCTTTGCAGGAGAAGGTTCATAGCTCCCATTCAAATCACATGAAACTGATGACATCCAGGATCCATGTTCAGAAACACAGAAAGAACAGGAACCTTATATGTAAGCTGGCTGAGTATTTACCCAGGAAGGCAAAGAGTATGCCACTACGTGTACTCTCACTTAGGGACTGCATATGGTACGTGTGGCATGGTCTAGACATCTGTTGCCTGAATATATTAATGTGTGGTCTGAATATGCTCTCTCTAGGTGTGTTTTATCTGCTGATTAGTCCCTTAGGACTGTGAATTTATCACTGATTCTGCTTTCTTGTAGATAGAAAATGAACGTGTTTTTTCCCTATGTGAAAGAGAGGCAGAAAGCCCCTGAGGCTCAGCACAGCATTCCCCTTTTTCTTGTGAAGCTTCCAGGCAGCAAGCTGGGAAGAGAGCACAAAATGACTGATAGGGCACCGCACTCACTATCAACTGTTTTATACCTGAGAGTTTATCTTAGATACCTCCTTAATTCCTCAATTATTTAAAAAAAAAGGGAACAGAAACATCAGTGACACCTGCAGGAGATAATGACAGTATCCATATGCATTTCCTGAGGCAAGCATTCATGTGGCTGCCAGAGGCAGGACACTAAACGTAACTTGCCAATGTTTTAAAAACAGGCTATTTTCCTCAAGTATGCATAAACTCAGCAAAGCATGCACTTGGTTTCTCATATTTCAATATAACACACATACCTCCAAAGAGAATAAATATTTGATGGTGGGAGGATTTGCTTTTGACTAATTAGGAGTGAAGACCTAGCTCACGATGAGATTCCCAGCGTATAGTTCCACACGGCAGAGGTGAGCCTTAAGCTCTATAGAAGCCTTAATGTCACCTATAGAAATGATTGTACTGTAGTGGAAAGCAATGTCTGAAGCATCATATGGTAATGACTTGTCTACAGATTGGTAATATAAACATCCCTATGTTTAAATAAGATATTTTCCAGTAAATCCAGCACAGAAGTCATGCTTTACCAAAACTGAACTTCCTGCAGTCACAATCCATTTTATTTTCATCATTCTAAGTTACTAATAAGCATTTGAGCTTGTAAAATTTCACTTATGACAATCAGTAAGAAATGTGTGGGTTTTTTTAAAACAAATGAAGTCATATAATTATGTTCAGCCAGAAACAAAACAGAGGCAATCAATGTTCAATTTAAGTTTTCATAGGATGGCTTTTCAAAAAAGAGAAGAATTATGTTTTTTATGGGGCTACTCTATAATTATAAAGCGTGTTATTCCTCAGTAGGTCTTTGGAATGTAACAAAGGGCAAAGCAGAACTCTGGACCGTGAACCTTTTAGTTTTCCTTCCTCTCTCATCCTTTGGAAAAAATACCATTGATCTACAAAGACTAATTTGAACACTTGGGTTTATTAACGTTAAAGATAGAAAATATGTTGTTAGCTCTCCTTTTTTCTTTCTTTCTTTTATTTTTTTTTTTAATTTTAGGGATCTTAGCTTTCATTAAGGAAAGAAAAATTGTAAGCCATGTGAGTACTGGAATAATTGAAGTCACTCAAATTAGGCCATTACTTTTTTGAATAACCTTGAAGAATTCAGTTGTCCTAAATTTCATACTTATTTTTGTATTGGATGCAAAGCAAATCTCGCTCTAATCATTTCATTTCAACAGTTCTTCAACAGTTTTGGTCATTGCTTCTTATTACAGTTTTGGTGTTAGCCTTTATTTCTGTCAGTCTTAAAGCTGAAGAGGGAGGAGGGTATATACATATATATACCACTAAAACAAAAAACCCCAAACACTACACACTGGCCGCAGACAACTGAAAAATACTCCCAACACTGCTAAAAGGAATACCTAATTGGAGGAGGAAGGAAGAGAGGACAGACCAAAATTTCATGAAACTCACTGGGACTCTTCCTTTTACCATCATGTGCTTCACATCTAACAAATATTAACTTCAGCTAGGTGCTTAGAAGGACCTGAACATAAAGCAACTATGAACTTAGCCTAGTGCCTTTGCTGTGAAGTCAGGGGGGGCTAGCAGTGTTCTTGAGAGCAGAGCAGGTACCCATGCAAATCCACTTTATAAACTGAAGAAAAACTATACTATCAGTATTATGGTTAGAAATGAGTTAACTTTCATGTATAAAGTGAAGAGAGGAAAAGTCTATGTTAAATAAGAAATTAAACACAAAGGATTACTCGTTAGCAGTCCTCAGAAAGGCTAGGGCAGGAAGGAATTTGGGATGGAAAGAAATGTAAAAACATTTTGGTTGGGGAATCTGATCAATACCTAGCCAGTTGGTAAATTTTGAACAAACACACACATTTGAAGAAGAACACAGTCTGTTCACAGATGACTCTTGATTAGAATAAAAAGCCAAAATCTGTTGAATAAAATTTTTATAAATGATAACGTTTCATGATAATGAATCTGGAATAGGCAGATAGTTTTATGGTTTGTTACTGTCATCTGCTGAATATTCAAGGTCACATAAAAAGAGATTGTGTTGTCTTGGTCCAGTTAGAAACTATTATGAGAGCTATCATGTTCTCTGGTGGTCCTGTCAGAGGCCTGAAGGTCTTAGAAATTGTATATACTGCCTTCTTTATTTGCAGCAGTCCTTCCTAGGGTTGATATGGTTTGTGGGTAGGACATATGAGTTCATGGGTAGCCTTGTTGCGAGTTAGTACACGGTGATGGTTACATTCATTAGGAGTGCTCATTTAAGAAAAAAAAAAAGGGCTTGGAAGCACAACCAGCACTGAATTTCACTGGGAAGATGAAATAAATCTCCCATATTTGGGCTGTGTGTGTAATAACTTGGCACAAACCCCTGCCGAAAAGTAAAGAGGAACAACACACCAACCCCACCCCACCCCAAAATGCCCGGTGGCAGAGCAGGGGTTACACCATGAACTAGTAGAGCAGTATCCAGGCTCACAGCAAATGCCCCTACACTGGGAGAAATCACGGAGGCAGAATTCTTACGCTTTCCTTCAGTCCCAACATAGCCTCCAGGTGGTCAAACACAGGAACAGGCTCTCTAGAGAGGTGGTCAATAACTGGCTTTTCCTTTTCATGTCACCTTCTTAATTACAAGAGCATTCTGTTCATTAATATTGTATGGCTGAATTAAATCCTCACATCTTGATGGTATAAAGAGGACTTTTGTGCACACCACTGCACTCCTTAGGTCCAAATGTAAGTGACAAGCAACACGTCAGATTACTAAAATTCAGTTATTCTACATGAAAACATCCAAACACCCACCTCTCTCAGCCCGCATTCAAGTATACAGCTACAAGAATTTCTGAAGTCATGTTCTCAGAAGTAACTGCCTATTTTCCAGGCAATTCCAGCTGTAGCTGACTGCCAATGAAGGAAAGGCCAGGAAAT